CCACAGTTCTACATATAAGCCATGGGTTCCCCTTCTTTTAATTCTTATCTTTTTTTTCTTTCTTTCTTCTTCATGTAGCCTAGACTGGCCTCAAATTTGTTATGATTGGAGGCTGGTCTTGTTTCTCAAGTGCTGCGATTACAGGCATGTCCCACCAGGCTTGGCTCTCTGAAATTATAGTTTTATTGATATGCAATGCGACCAAAGCATTCATTGGTTGAAAGCACATGATTTAAGGTCTGTGAGGGTTTCTGTTTTTAGTATATTCAGAGCTGTGCACCATCACTAGAATCAATTTAACATGTGTCCATGAGCTTTAGCTACTAACTTTACATTTGTCTGTGTGTTCTCCCGGGCCTGGCTGCTTTCATGTCCATGTTTTCAAAGTCCACTGATGCCCTCTCATGTCTCAGGATGTCTTTCCTGCCGAATAGGAGTCTATCGTAAAGCTACACCACCCGTTTTTTTTTTTTTTTTTTAAACAATAGTCTCACCTTGTAGCTTCCTTCTCTCTTCACCGCCTTTTTCCTATTGGAATTACAGGCTTGCCACTTCTTTCTTTCTTTCTTTTTTTTTTTTTTTTTTTTTTTGAGAGAATTTCTCTGTGTAGCTTTGGAGCCTGTCCTGGAACTCACTCTGTAGACCAGGCTGGCCTCGAACTCACAGAGATCCGCCTGCCTCTGCCTCCCGAGTGCTGGGATTAAAGGTGTGCGCCACCACCGCCTGGCTAAGACTTGCCACATTTTACTTCTGTGCTCATCAACTGACAAGCATTGCAAGGTGTCCCCACCTTTTGGCTGTTATGGGCAGTTCTGCTATAGGAACTACATATATATTATAGTTCATATATAGGAACATACAATGGGTTTTTGTTTGTTTTTCATTTTGGTAGTGGTTATAAGTTGGCAAGTTTGCATGCCTGTATATAAATTCTCACGTGGACAGGTGTTTTCGTTTCTTCCATTCTCCAGGTGATGCCAATACACAGGAAACATGGCTGGGGGCATCTGGCCTAGAGGTGCCAATAGGCAGCAGTCTAGGAAGTCAGGGAGGACCCACCCTGCTCCCCTCTTAGCTGTGCCCCTCCTCCACTGACCTATGGCTTCCTCGGGGCCGTGGGGAGGGGAGAAGGAGGAGGAGGACTGCCCACTGCGACCCAGCACCAGCTAAGCAGCTACTGTGGCTTACCTTGCAGGAGGTGGGCCCCACCATGGTGGGTGATGAGCATTCGGACCCGGAGCTGATGCAGCACCTGGGAGCCTCAAAGAGAAGTGTCCTGGGAAACAACTTGTAAGAAGTGGTACCCTCCAGCATCTTCCTTCTCCCTCCCAGTGCCTCCTCCTGCCTTGCCCTTCACATGACCATCAAGCCTTGCCCTTCACACAACCATCAAGTCTTGCCTTTTGCACAATCATCAAGCCTTGCTCTTTACACAACCAAGCCACTTGTAGGGCTTGCTTTCATCTCTAGTCGCCCCGGGGCTCTAAGCCGAGCGAGGGAGTTTCCCACAAGCCCCTAGCCTTCCTTCCCAAAGCAGCTCATCTTTAGTGGAAGTCTAGGACAGCCTGTCCTGAGTCTGGGGCTCTGGGAACGAGCTGTTCTTGCCTTGTCCTTTCTGCTCTAAAGTGGATCCCATCAGCAAAGACAAGCTTTGGCTTTAAGGGCTGGTTGAGTCACAGAGCCCAGCCCCAGAAATAGAGCAGGACACCCGGGGCCTCCTTCCAGCTCCCGGCTGCCTGGCATTTGGCCGTTTCCCTCAGCATCCTCCACATCATCTGTGTCTAAACACTACCACTTCCCTTTCTGCTTCCCCACCCTATGTCCTAGTGTTCGGTGGCTATGGACACCATGACCAAGGCAACTGTCTTAGAGTTCAACTGCTGTGAAGAGACAGCGTGACCCAAGACAACTCTTAGAAAGCATTTGATTAAGGACTCGCTTACAGTTTTAGGGGACAAGTCCATGATGATCACGGTGGGGAGAAGGCACCATGAAGGCAGGTGCTGAGCAGTAGCTGAGAGCTTTATATCCTGATTTGCAGGCAGCAGTCAAGAGAGAGACACTGGGCTGGGCACTGGCTTTTGAAACGTCAGAGCCCACACCCAGTGACACACTTCCTCCAAGGCCATACTCCCAATCCTTCTCAAACAGTTCTGCTCCCTGGTAACTAAGCATTCAAATATATGAGCCTTTGGGCGCTCTTCATTCAAGCCACCACAGTAACTTATAAAGGAAAGCATTTAACTGGGGACTTGCATTGAGTGGGCCCATGACCGTCATGGCGGGGCGCATGGCAGCAGGCAGGCAGGCATGGCACTGGAGCAGTAGCGGAGAGCTCACATCTGATCCACAAGCAGGAGGCAGAGACCCTAGGCCTGGAGTGGCCTTTTGAGAACTAAAAGCCCACCTCCAGTGACACACCTCCTCCAACAAGGCCACAGTTTCCAATGCTTCCCCAAACAGGACCAAACATTCAATTATACAAGCCTGTGGGGACCACTCATCCAAACCAACACACCTTCCCTACTGGGGGGGGGGGGGACACCAAGTGGGTTCACTGATCCTCAGAATTGCCAGTCCCAAGTGCAAAAAGGGAAGAGAAGACAATCAGATCCCAGCCCCTGATCAAAGCAGGGAGGAGCCAATTCCATCTCTTTCCTCATCTGCTTCAGGATGCCAAGCTTGGGGTTTGGGTCCCTTATCCGCTTCATGGTTTTTTTGTTTGTTTGTTTGTTTTTTTGGTTTTTCGAGACAGTTTCTCTGTGTAGCTTTGCGCCTTTCCTGGAACTCATTCTGTAGACCAGCCTGGCCTCGAACTCACAGAGATCCACCTGCCTCTGCTTCCTGAGTGCTGGGATTAAAGGCGTGAGCCACCACCACCCGGCCGCCTCATGTTCTTTATAACTCAAGGGAAATCAAGCTTTCTGCACCAGCAAAGGACCCATGGATCCAGGTGGTGACCTGATTTGCTGCTCCAGGATTGCAGGGCAGCTAGAGAGAGGCCTGAGTTCCTGAGGAGGGCAGACAGCCTAGCGGGGTGCTTAGACTAACACACAGCAGCTCTGAGGCTATCCTGGGGTCTGCTCTTCACGGCAGGCAGAGCTAACCAGCCTGTTTCCTCACCTATCAAACGGATCAGTAATGGCACCTTCGTCAGAGAATAAAACCAAGTGTGCAGCAAGGGGCAGAACAGAGAATGGGCACTTAGCCTCTCAGCAGGCAAGCGCCCAGCAGACAGGCCAGGCTCTGAGGAGACACCAGCTTTGGGGAGGTACCTGCGCGGTGTCTGTCTCCTCACGCCGCTCTCCTGGTTTCTTCACAGTTATGAATACTATGTCAATGACCCTCCTCGCATAGTCCTGGACAAGCTGGAACTCAAGGGCTTCCGTGTGCTGAGCATGACGGGGGTGGGCCAGACGCTGGTGTGGTGCCTGCACAAGGGCTGACCTGGGGGAGCTGACCCGTGCGACCACCATGTGCCCTGACCCCCGATCCTTGCAACATTGTCCGCCCCGCCCACTTTCCTGTCCGCTTCCTCGTCCAACACCGACGGGCTGTGAACGGCCTAAGGAACCCTGCTCCAGTCGGCTGGGCACAGCAGGCCTTCTCCTGGTGCTTTCAGCTCCCACAGCTAGAGGCCTGACCCTGGCTCTTGCTCTAGGCCATGTGCTGAAGGCAGGCTACCCAGAGAACACTCCCTGGGTCCTGCACAGCTAGTCCAAGCCAATAAAATGCTCTCATGAGTGGATGGATGTTCCTCAGCTTTGTTGTGTAATGACTCTTGAAATGTGACATTCTTTACTGCTCTGTCCCTATCCATGGATGAAGCCCTTGGCCTGAGTGAAGCCCTCTCAGATAAAGCCCAGCTCAAGACAAAGAAAAGTAGACTTTTTTTTTTAAAAAAAAAGTTTATTGGTGATGATTCAGAAAAGGGTGTGGGGTGGGGGAGCTGGGGCTACGTGGGCTGCCCCTCATCTTCCTGCTGCATCTGGGCGATCAGCTGCTGGCGCTCAGCTGCCTGGCGCATGCGCATCATGACAAGACTCTCGTAGTCCCTTTCTGACACCACTGAGCCCTGGGGACAGAAGGGACAGAGACATCAGGCTGGCGGGACCCAGCCCCACAGATGAGAGACTCAGTCTAGGGCCCAGATAGAGCCAAGTCTAAAAAAGGGCAAAGGAAGGACCCAGACATCTTGGATTCTAACTCCTCCAGGAGCTTTCAGAGAAAGCAGGCCTGTGCTCCCAGGCTGCTTTTCCATCAGCTCCCCCAGTCTCCCTTTACCTAGGACACCCCAACTATCTACATCCTGCTCATGAATCACTTCCCCGTGCGCTGGCCTGGTCCTCCCATTTCACTTCCTCAGCCCTTTATCTGACACGCTCCCTCCACCATGGCTTCAGCCTGGCAGGGTTCTAGCAGAGGAAGATGTCTGAGGTGCAGGGGTCCCCAGGCTCTGCTGCTGGACACACCAGAGTACCCCCACCTGCTGTGGTCTGGCTCCTGCTGAGGGTCCACAAGGGGGCGTGCACAGCCTCAAAGGGCCCCACTCTGGATGAGAAAAGCTAGCCGAGTCCAGCTTGCCTCCTAAGACACAAAGCCAGGCTACCGTAGGGCAGGGCCCGTGGCTTTCTTTATGATCTTGCTAGCCATGCAGGGGACTGAGGAGGGGTACAGGTTAGTACCCCCAGGACAACAGGCAGCCGCCAACGGGCCAAGGCTGTGAAGTGAAGCAGCCCACAGTCTGCGGGGCCAACGGGATGACTCAGACCCTTCCTCCCTTAGCACAGCTGGAGCTGCGTACCACATATGACCCCACAGCTGATAGAGGGTGGGAAAGCCAGGGGGGTGGGCACAGAGGCAACGTAGGGCAGCCTTTGCAAGTGTGGTGGCCCATCTGCAACAAAAGGGCCGTGGACCCCTGCTGGGGGCAGCCACACTGGTGCCCTCCCACCGCAGAGGGCTGGGAAGTCAGCGACCCAGGAAAGAACACGGGAGTGGCTCAAGTTGGGCTGCCCGGCCCTGGCTAACTTGTTTGTAGTCGGGGTGCAGGTAAACAGGAAGTGATACCCAGTCTGGCCCCTGTCCTTACACCTCCCCCACCCCTAGGAAGAGAGAGCCCTTACCAGACACCCTCCCCGCCACCACTGGCAATCCACAGCAGCCTCACACGTACGTCCTGGACCCCTCCACAAGGGGGTCCCCAGATGAGGCGCACAAGCCCGAGAGAAAGGACTGAGCACCACAGGAGCAGTGGGGTGCTGGCCTTGTGGGGTGAAGAGGAGACTGAAAAGCTGAGCGGCCACACTGATGTCCCGGCTGTGCGGAGGGCACTGCCCCTCCCCCAGTTCGTACTGCTCTACCTCGAGGACGACTTCAAGTCACCGCTGGCATGCCCCCAGCACCCGGGAGGAGCAAGTCCTTTACAGGCATGGGGCTGCTCCCTGTTAACACACCCTCCACATCCTTCCCCTCCATTCCTGTGGCCTGGCTAATGAGGGCCTGTCAGCCAGCCCAGGGGCTGAGTCACCCACACCGGCAGGTCTCCTCTCTTCCTTCCCCGACAACTGCTCCAAAAGTTGCCTTTCAACTTTTCTACTGCCTCCCTGGGCTCTTCCCAAGACAGCTGGGGCTAGGGAGCCAGACAGGCCTGCGGGGTCACGGCGGTGGTGGCTTTGACTAGAAAGGAAGTAACCTGGTGACGCACCAGGCAGGGCTGTCCCCAGACCAGTCCCCAGAGGAATCTGAAGCGTCCCACTGCCCTGGGGTGTTGGTCACAGCTGCCCCAATCCCAGCCTGCGGATGCTGCAATTACCTCAGAGCATGAAACCAGCTTCCCACCTGACTGAGTCAGCTGAAAAGAAAACATCTCTACCACACGCTGGCACAACAGCCAAGCCACTAATCAGAGTCCCCAGATGCTGGCAGAGGGCACAGTCCTACACCGGCCAGGAGATCGGCACACGCCAGGAACCACCTGAGACGTCAGGAACCACCTGAGACGGGGACAGGGACGGGCCAGCTGCCGCCTGCCTCTAGAAGGAGTGCATGCTCCCTCCGGAGGTCCAGCCCTGCCCACCAGGCCCTCAGCCCCGTGGCATCCTGCTCTGCTCTGTAAGTACCGCTGCTGCTTCCTTTGGTTTTTTTCCACACGCCGATCAAGTAACCAGGCCACTCTTACCCAGGTGGGAACCCCCTCCCAGCACTCGGATCTCCCAGACACAATCTCCCTCCTGCTAGTCCTGTCTCACCGTGATCCAAGACGCAACAAGACAAAGGACCACGCTGAGCAGAAACCCACGGCCTCGGCCGCTAGCCCTTGAGGGGTGGCTCCCTGGTTCCTGGCCTCCAGCACTCTAGGAAATGGTCACCAGCTGCTGCTGAGCCCCTCTGTGGGGCTTCTCAGATGCCAGACCTGCCGGCTGACTGAGGAGGTCCATGGAGACTTGGCGGAAAGGTTCCTTCCGCAATGCCTCCTTCTTCAAGAGACTAACCCTGGGGCGGCCGCGGCCCCGACTCCGGCGGCAGGGCAGCATACTCAGCCAGGCCAGCACTGCTGCTGGTGACCATGAAGAGTACAGCAACCGAGAGGTCATCCGGGAACTGCGAGGGAGGCCAGATGGCCGGCGTCTGCCCTTGTGGGGGGATGAGCATCCCCGAGCCACCCTGCTGGCCCCACCCAAACCCCCACGTCTCTACAGAGAGAGCTCCAGTTGCCCCAATATTCTGGAGCCCCCAGCAGCCTACACGGCTGCCTACTCGGCCACCCTGCCCTCAGCAATCTCCCTGACGGGCCCCCTCCACCGGGACTCAGAGGAGGACCTTGTGGACACTCCCCATTTCCCGAGGACACCTACTCCGGACCTCAATGACCCTTTCTTTTCCTTCAAAGTGGACCTGGGAATTTCACTTCTGGAGGAAGTTCTAGAGATGCTAAGGGAGCAGTTCCCTGGTGAGCCCCACTTCTGACTCGGTGAGGGCAGAGAGAACTGGGGTGACTGGAGCCTGGGGACCCAGGGAAGAAAGGCACAGTGTGGATTAAGGAGCAGGTGGAGACAGAAGCCACAGTTCAGCCTGCCCTCTGGCTGCTGACCAGTCCTCCAAGGCACCCAGAGTGAAGGGACCGACGCCGGCTGGGAATCTATGGGGTCACTTTCTGGCAGGCGCCCTGAAGGAAGCTGGAAAGGTCTGGAAAAGGAAACCACACCTGCAACCACAGGAACCGGTCAGAGGTCAGTGGAGAGACAGGGTGGCATGGGGCGAGTCAGGGAGCAGGACTCGGACTGGGCTGCTCTAAAAGCCACCACCAACAGAGAGATCACAGGACACGTCAAGAAGAAGAATCTAACTGAGACTAAGAGAGAGGGGAGGCCAGACACTTACCACTTACTTCATGGGATTGATTTAACTGAAGTACAAACAATTGAAAGTTCAGTTCCAGAGGCTAGAGAACCAGCTCAGTGGGTAAAGTGTCTGCTACACAAGCAGGAAGGCCTGAGTTCAGACCTCCAGTACCCACAGAGAGAGAGGAGCTGGGCAGGGGTGCCGCCCGCCTGCAATCCAGCGTGAAGGATGCAGACACCAGGGGTCCCCGGGCAGGCTGGCTGGCTAGACTAGTCAGATTGGCAGACTCCAGGTCCAGCAAGAACCTCTCTCTGCGTCAGTAATAAAACATGGGAAGCAATCAAGGAAGATACCTAACATCAACCTCTGACCTCCACTTGTGCACGGAAGGAAGGAAGGAAGGAAGGAAGGAAGGAAGGAAGGAAGGAAGGAAGGAAGGAAGGAAGGAAGGAAGGAAGGAAGAAGAAAGATAGATAAATTCAGTTTCTTTTCACTCTAGCCAATTTTTGTTTGTTTTTGAGATAAGGTCTCTAATGTAGTGAGGGTGGCCTTAAACTTATGACCCTCCTATCTCCACCTCCTGTTGCTGGGATTACAGGCGTGTGTCACCACACCCAGTTCCTTAGGTGGTGCTGGTGATCAAAACCAGGACTTCATGCATGCTGAGCAAGTACTCCACCAAAACGAGCCACATGCCAGCCCTCTAGCCACATTTTAAAGATGTTTTTAAAAATTGTTTTTAATTTTGTACACACACACACACACACAAGTATACACAGATGCCTGCAGAGGCCAAAGATGTTAGATGCCCCCAGAGCTAGAGTTACAGGCAGTTGTGAACCACCTGATATGAATTGCTAGGAATTGGACTCGGGTCCTCTGGAAGAGCAGTATGTGTTCTTAATTGACGAGCCATCTCTCCAGCCCACTGAGCCATATTTAAATCAACAGCCACACCTGATTCATGGCTACCATACTGGACGACAGAGCATAAACACTGACATTGTTAGACCAAGTCCACTGGCTGGTGCTGGCCAGACACTAGTGTGGAAACGTCAGAAGTGTGGATGAGGAAAGGAAGAAATGCAGGAGGGGCTGACAGAGCAGGTGAGGCCGGCAGAGGAGAAAGCAGGGGAAATGCCCAACAATCATTAGCAAAATAGCATGAGACTCAAGCTGCCCACAGATCCCAAGCAATCCCTGTGAGGGAGGAAGCAGCTCCAGGAACCAGCAGCTTGCAGAGGAGTATTCTGGAAACTCCCACAAGTATTCTGTGTGGGGCCTCTGGGAAGGGCTGTGAAAACAGCAGCCTTCCTTCCCAGCAGAGGGGATGACTAGGTCAAGGAAAGGACCATGCACCAAGAGGCTCCAGCATCCTCCAACAGGCCTGCAGAGTTCGGCCTCATCCTGAATGGACCAATGCTGCCAACTGCATTACTAGCCGGGTCTGTGGCTTGGCCGCATCTGAATCCAGAACCAGAAGCACTGGGCCATGTGAGTCTGGCCCCAGCCACTCAAGTGTGAAGGAGGGTAGAGGGAAGCTGTGCCCAACCTGCCTCTGCCTCCGCAAAGCCACATCTCTGAGGTCTCTTTCCTGCTCCTGTGCAGACGTGCCCAGCTGAGAGGCTCCTCTGCAGACAGGGGCAATGAATAAAGGTTTTTCTAATACAACCTACAGAGTGTGACCTGGAATGTGGAGTGCCGAAACCGAATGGCAGAGGCTTCTTTTTGTTTTGTTTTTTGTTTTTCGAGACAGGGTTTCTCTGCGTGTAACAGTTCTGACTATCCTGGAACTCTCTCTGTAGCCCAGGCTGGCCTCAGTACTCACAGAGCTGTGCCTGCCTCTACCTCCCGTGTGCTGGGATTAAAGGCATGAGCCACCACCACCCAGTGGTAGAGGCTTCTTTTAAGTCAAGATCCTGAGCTGGCCTAGACCAGCTCATGTCCCTCCTCTCTCCAGGGTCTGGGACACTGTGGTGGTTTGGTGAGAACGGCCCCCATAGACTCATCTACATTTGAATGTTGGTGCCTAGTCGGCAGCACTATTTGGGGAAGATTAGCAAGTGCGGCCTTGCTGGAGGAGGTGTGTCACTGGGGGTGGGCTTTGAGGTTTCAAAAGCCCATGCCATTCCCAGTTAGCTCTCCCTCTGCCTTGTGCTTATCTCAGCAGATAAGCTCTCAGCTACTGCTCCAGCATCCTGCCTACTGCCATACCCCCTACCCTGATGATCATGGACTCTATAACCTCTGGAACCATGAGTCCTCAAATTAAATGATTTCCTTTATAAGCTGCCTTCCGGCGATAGCAAAGTAACTAAGACAGGACACTCCCCAGAAGCTCCCAATCTCTCAGGCAGGTATAGGGACAGGTAACCAGGCAGAGACCCTGGACATGCCAGCAGGCACCCAGGCAGTTCAGAGACCCTGGACATGCCAGCAGGTACCCAGGCAGTTTCAGAGGAGGGAAGCGCCAGGAGCTCCTGCCTCCAAAGCAATCATCCCTCCAACAGAGTGACCGGGAGCCCATGCCCCAACCTCTGCAGTCAGGCTAAAAACCTGGACCATGAAGGACAGAGTGAACACAAGCCTCTGTGGAGCTGTAAGGACGAGGAGGCGGCCCGGGGCCCACGGGAGCGGGAAGGTGCACTCTTGGCCACAAGTGCAGCAGCAGGTTCAACATGGGACATGACGCTCTCTCTAGAGGAGGTGTGCTCGTCAGAGTCAGTGGGAGTGGGACGCGGAGACACCTGCCTCTTCACCCCACACTAGGTTGCCTAATCTCCAAATCCTTTACCCCATGACCAAGAGCAAACAGACAGAAGCCCTCTGGGCAGCGAGGAGAGCTCCAACAGGAAACACCCAGGAAGGGCAAACAGGGCAAACTTTTTTCTTTTCTTTTTGATTTTTCAACAGGGTTTCTCTGTGTAGCCCTGGAACTTGCTCTGTAGGCCAGGCTGGCCCTGAACTCAGAGAAATCACCAAGAGTTGGGACTAGAGGCATGCGCCACTATGTCTGGTATGGGCCAACTACTGTGTAGCTCTGAAGGTGTACTTCAGTGGTAGCATGGGGGTTAATTATGAGCAGGACCCTGGGTTTGATCCAGTGCCAGAAAAAGACAAATAAAAACAGAAAAGAAAAAACTGCCAGGTGGTGGTGTATGTCTGTAATCTCAGCATTCGGGAGACAGAGGCAGGCAGATCTCTGAGTTTGAGGCCAGCCTGATCTACAGAGTGAGTTCCAGGA